TTATATGAAGAAGAATGTGGCATCAGGATTGGAATAAGGCTTATTAAAAACTTGTGATATACAGATGACACAACCTTGCTTGCTGAAAGTGAGGAATTTAAGCACTTGCTGATGAAGATCAGGGATTGTAGCCTTCAGTCTAGATTACAACTTAATGTATGGAATACCTGAATCCTCACACCTGCACCAATAGGCAACATTATGATACATGGAAAAGGGTTGAAGTTGTCAAAGAGTTTGTCTTGTGTGGATCCACAATCAATGCTGATGGAAGCAGAAGTCAAGTGATCAAAAGGCTTATTGCATTAAACCTCTTTAGAGTGTTGAAGAGCCAGGATGCTATTTTGAGGACTAAGGTGTGCCTGACTCAAGCCATAGAATTCTCCCTTGCCTCATATCCCTGTGAAAGTTGGGGAATGAATAAGGAAGACCGGAGAAGAGTCACTGCATTTGAATTGGGGCGCAGGAGAAAAATATTGAAAGTAACATGGATTGCTAAAAAAACTAACTGGTTTGTGTTGGAGGAAGTAAGACCAGAGTGCTCCTGAGAGGCAAGGATGGTAAGATTTCATATCTTACACACTTTGGACATATGGTCAGGAGAGACCAGTCCCTGAGAAGGATATTGTGCTTGGTTAAGTGGGGAGCAGAGACGGAGGGGAGGCCCTCAGGGAGATGGATGGACACAGTGGTTGCATCAGTGGGCTCAGGCACAGGAGCACTTGTGAGGGTGGCATGGGACTCTCTGGGGTTTCATTCGGCTGTGCACAGGCTCACTATGGGTTGGAGCTGACTCAATGGCACCTAACAACCACAACCACAACTCTTCCTGAAAGAATTCAGCATCCTTCAATGTACACCATATCAAAAAAAAAAAATGGAAAAGGTTCAGCATTCCATGGTGTTCATTTTAAATGTTCTTTAAGTCCGGGGAACCAAAAGAAATGGACGGGACAATATCAGGGCTGTAGAGAGATGGGGTGTGAAGCTCTCAACGGAGAGGCCTTGCAACTCTTGACGAGTGAGCAGTGCACTGCTGTGATAAAACCAATAATTCCTCAGCACAATTTTCCTGACATTTCTCTTACCAATTATCAATTTTCTTAAACATGCTTCATAATAAGCTCCTGTGATTACCTTATGTCTTTTGAGAAAATTGTTGAT